GAGCTTGTCCAGGTGCGTACAGCGCATTGTTGCTTTTATATGAAAAATTTGGATGATTCTTCCAACCAGGGTTATAGGTATTGCTATAAGGGTTTCCCTGTACGTAATTCGCTTGTTCAGTTGGAATTCCTATTATAAGTGGGCATTCTGGAGCAGGATGTGATTGAAGACCACATAGATCGCAAGCTTGAGCTACTACAGCCACGGTAGCTGCGGGAGCGGTGGTAAGATTTTCTAGCTTTTGGGTAAGGGCTTCCACTTTAGCGTTGACTTGATCCAGACTATTCACTTCAATCATGCCACCTTTTGTTTGATTTTTTTTCCATATTAGCTCTTTCGCTTCCCTATTGATAATGGTTCTGAGTCATGCTTTCGATAAGTTGATTTGCTTCGGTATATGGTTTATCCATCAATGCGCCACCAACAGCAGCGTCTATAGTCATTCTTGTGTTGTACAAAAGACTGTTATAGAACGTATGAATGATCAGCCATTCTTCTAAACCATGATGAGGACAAAGTCTAATCATGTCCTTATAGCGTTCCCACGCTTCGAAAAGTGATTCGTTATCTTTTTGTCTGAAACCATTGATGTTGGCTCTGAGCATAGCAGTTTTTCTTGGTGGGAAATATCTAGCCAAAAAGACCTTCTTCAACTTATCTCATGTGGTGATTGAGTTTGAAGGAAGAGATTGGAGCCATGCTCGAGCTCTGTCTCTTAAAGAAAAAGGAAATAGGCGCAATCGTATCGCCTCGGGGTTTACACCATTCGCTTTTACAGTGTCTGTGTACTGCACAAACACCGACAGATGCAGGTTTGGGTCGCCAGTAGGAGATCCAGAAAATTGGTTCTGCTGAACGACGGATAGAAGCGAAGGTTTCAACTCGAAATCGTTTCGAGCGATAGCAGGAGCGACAATGATGTTGTGAGGTTCCGCTTGAGAAGGAACTGCGTAATCCTTAAGAGGGCGAGGTGGATTTGGTACGTCAGTCATCTTTGACTCTTCAATTAACTCAGGGATTGAGATATCAGGAAGCTTAGTCGGAGGAAGATTGTTGAGATCACAGTATTCTTGAATTCGGCGTCTTACTCTGAGATAGCGCTCGATATCGTTGATTTGTAGATGCAAAGGCTCGCTTCGGGAGCGAGTATTTGGCATACAACAGAGGGAAAAATAAATAATTGCCTTAGTCTATACAGTGCTACTTTATGAGTGCACTAGTGACTAAATCAAAGTCCCCGGCAACGGCGCTAAAAACTTGATGTGCGATCGACCTAATGTGTCTAACGGTATCTTAACTGCAAGTGCACAGCCTATCGCGGTAGTAATAAAAAGATGTCGAACCCACATGGACTTTGTAATCACTCTAGTGCTATAAAGGTTTGCTAGTTTAGCTAAGGCGGATGTTGTCACGTTTGGTTTTTTAGAGGTTAAAGTAGAGGAAAACTAAATCGAACTAAGGAAATAATAATAATAATAAAACGGTCGATATGTAATATAGTGAACCTAAGCGGATTTAATCGAACCTAAGCATGTAAAGATGTTTAACTTAAATGATTCTGTAGAAATTATTAGTTTAAAAACCCTCAACTCACACTCTCGTGGTCTTATCTCGGATTATACCCCTAAAGCCCTATGTCTGCTCTCGCTAGCCCATAAGTGTTTAGAAAATACTCTTTGAAAACTTAATAAAGTCTAATTCGTTTTAAAGCGCTCTCACTGTATTTAAATCAAATGTCTAACTTTAGCTATCCGGTTAAAACCTCACACTCTCGTGGTCTTGATCCTAACCTATTCTACTTTTCTTACTCTCGTAACAAAAAGATTTATTTTAATTATAAAAAGTCACGGCCAGAAATTAAGTTAATTTGGATTTTAGCTTAGGAACAATTTAATCCATTTAGTTACTATTATCACATCCCGACTCTAGAAAATTAGCTAGTCATGGTACTTGAAACAGACAGACAGGAAATATAATCGGGAAATAGTAAAACATTCATGATAAATAAATAACAGTAATTTAACGTAAACAAATTGTATTAAAATTAAATTAAATGCGATTAAAAACCTGAATAATAATACTATTCCTCAAGCTCCCTCTTCCACAAGTCGGCAAGATTGGAACCTTCGGAATCGGAACTTGAAACGAAGTCTGAGGCTAAAAACAAATTCTAACTACAATAGCAATTTCCTAATATTGGAAATGGATATTAAATGGTAAAAGGGAAATAAAACAAGAACAGTAGAAAAAAAATGAAAATTGGAAACAGTTCGTAAATTCGACAGAGCTTCTGCAAGGAATTTGTGAAAATAAAACTTTCTGTAAATAAAACTTTGTCCCTTTCTTCATTGAAATCTCTCCTATTTATAGAGGAGAAATTGACAGTTAAGAAATAATAGAAACGTGGACTTGTACTTCTTTAGCAGAGAAAAACTAGGACTGGACGTTGGTGAGATTGAGAGATTGTAGGAGTGAATACTCCTTTCTTTACGTTGTCCACGTCTTCTCCATAACGTTAAATTAAGCGTGTGACGGTCGTAAGGCTAAGGTGATGATCGTAAGATGCTTAAATAGAGCGTTATGTTCGGCAATGATGTGTGACGAGCATTCTTCATGATGTGAGCACGTTACGGTCGTAATAGATGTGTGACGGCCGTCACAACATCAAAATCTGCAAAACTTTGCAGATTTGTCCCTTTTCTTCTATTTTTCATGTTAACTTTCTTCATATGATCTTTTTCACTAAATTGACTTGAAACATGTTGTACCTGTGAAAAGACATAAAAAACTCGGAACAATCGGGAGTTAAATGGATTAATGTAGTATGAAAATGGATTAAAAACGTAGCAATTATACGATACGATTTCTCATTATCATGGATCACTATCAACACAATACAAATTTTATTTTAATCAACCATTGTCTTAATTTGAGAGACAAAGTCATTAATTTTAAATATTAATTTTTTCTTTTTCCACCTATAGTTCTTTTTTTTTTTTTATGATTATTTAATACAATTAAATTTATACTATTATTATTTATTTTACAATTAAGTAAATCATTTTAAATTTTACATTTGTATATAAATACATTTTATATCGCATTAAATAAAATAGACGTTGTCTTGATTTGAAAGATAAAATCCTTAGTTCAAAATATCTTTTTTTTTCTTTCTTCATCGCGAGTCTTTTTTTTCCTTCTTTTTGCATAATTTTTAATACAATTGAGTTTACATATATTTTTTTTCATTTTACAATTAAATAACTTATTTCAAATTTTTTTATATCTGTATATAAATAAATTTTATATTATATTAAATAAATTTTCTATTTCATAAATCACTATCAGCACAGTACATATTATATTAATCAATAATTACTTTAATTTAAAAGATAAAATCCTTATTTTCAAATATTAAAAAAAAAAAATTTCACATGTTCTTTTTTATCTTTGTATTTTAATACAATTGAGTTTATATAACTATTTTTCATTTTAAAATTAATAGCTAACTTCAAATTTAAATACATATCTAAATATATTTATATCGTATCAAATAAATTTATCCATTTAACTAATATTATTAGTAGAAAGGTAGCATGAAAACAATTCACCATATGTTACGATCAATTCACCATGTTCAACATTCGAACATATGCAAATCCTTGAAATTTTGTTTGGTAAGCAAAACTCATTCAAAATTAAAATTTTATTTTAAAATAAAATAATATAAAAATTAATATGACATTAAATAATTGAATAATGAATGGGAACATGAGTAATAATGGAAGAAAAGAGAACTATTAACCGTTCTTACTCCCACTAAATTGTATGGGTACAACAAATACAAGGCTGTACAGAATATCAAATCCAGGAAAGATCATAAAAACCAAATAAATAAAAGTTTGCCATTACAACACACTAGTCACGTCAGCTAACACCTCGTGGAATATAATATCCTGCTACTTAAGATTTATTCTCATTCAGCACAAGCTCATCAATGCATTTGATTGTGTGCTTTTTCCACAAATAAGAACAGAAAAAATCAAGTTTGACCTGACCCACAGGTTACTGGAGTTACGTGCAACGTATTGCTTTCGCTCGTTCCAAATCGATTCAATCAAATAGCATAACATAAGAGATAGAGCACATGAAAGATCCTTACAAACTTTACATGATAAAGTTGTTTCTTTGTGCATCCCTACAACCACAAAAAGTACAGATTCACATTTATATAAGCTACTCAATAGGCATTGGTCTACAGTCTGAATTAATACAAGGAAACACAACAAAATCGGAGGATTCATGACATAAATTTTACAAAAACAATGTGGATATGTGATTTCAAGGTAAATTCTATTGCTACAATATTATCACAACTTTTTTCAAAAGCATAATAGAAGTTGCATGTACAGAACTATGCATTAAATTTTCATCAGAAAACCAGGGTATAGCAAAACTCGTTCCCTCTTTTTCTAGCTTGCTTTCTCCCCAAGCAAGAAGAAATCATGGTCAACTTCAGATTCCATATTTACACTTAAAAGGCAGAACACGTCACGTCTTACCATCCTATATGTACAGTGATAGTTAACAGCTCCAGTCCATGATAGGATAGTAGGATGAAACCTGAACTGAATTACAGAGGATTGTTAGAAGCTAAAGTTAAAACCTAAAGTTAAAAGCTAAAAAACTGAATAAAATGTCTCCCCGGTTTGGTTACACAACTCCAATCATCTCTCTTCTCTCTCACATATACCCTCTCTCTATAATGAACTTTCCGTCTCTACCTACGTATTTCCCTCCTGATGACAATTAAGCTTAAGGGTATTGAAGGACAACAATCTTCCTAAAAGAGAAAAAACATAAGACCTTAATAATTACGTCTAGTTGGCAGATAATCTATTAAAAGTTATGCAAAATATATCAATTTCAACAGAACCACTGAATTCTACAAGTATTTTATGAAGCATGATTACTTTACCTTGAAAAGGATATACTCAGAATTATGTACTGGAAGGATGATTTTGACAAAGCTCGGCGCTCAGCATATGATGAAGAAGTGCATCAACCCTCTGGCTTCGTGTTTTCGTTCTAAAGAAAACCAATATTGTCAATAAGACCACCATTAATATGCCTTCAACTAATAGGTAAGCTTTTTAGTTGAGCGGTGTACTGTTTAGATATGGTATTAAAGCGTTATAGGTAGTTAGAAGTTCAATTATTACCATCATTCCTCATAATTAAACTAAATTTCAGTTTCAGCTTACGGTATAATTATGAGCAAGTGAATTGTCTACTGTTCAAGCCCAGTGGCCTTTCGTGTGAAGCCATGTGTTGAAAATATAAATTTTATTCATATTCCTTCATCTAACAATAGCATTTAGGTTGAGTTGGAATATGACTGATACAACCAGAGGAGTTTATCGGCTTCTTGAAGAAACACAAAAATGTGAGCATTCACATAAATAATGCGAGTCACTCATACTTACCCAAGAGTTCGTCGCCTCGGATATCTATCTCCTGCAACTCCCTATATTGAGATTGGAAATAAAAAGAGGGTTATAAAGCTGTTAGAGAGCTATATATGTAAATTAACAAACAAACAATGTATTATGCACAAAAGGTATTAAGATCAATAAAAAACAGATAAACGTAGAAATTGAAAAATGCTACATGCAATAAGATTTCATACAAAATTATCTTTGGAGCACTGAAAGGTCATAAATTTATCTTGCACAAATCCATTAATAATATTGGGATAATGATTGTTGCATACAGTGAGGAGTGGAAAAACCACAGCTATTCACAGAAAGTTGCAGTGAACTTGGTTTGTTACCATTGTTTATTCTCTATTTATTAGCATTCATTTAATTTTCTTACTTTCTATTTTTTCTTCTTGAGAGATTTCCTCTCTTGTATATAAATTTGCACAGCCTCTTTGTGAAATACAAGTAAATCATTCTATATTATTCAACTTGGTATATAAAGCAGGTTCGAAATCCTAGTTTTATCTCTGGGTTTAGCCTTCGTCAAAGTTAACCCTAGTTTACTTTTCAAATTGGTTAATGTGTGTCTAAGAGGCACTATTGTCTGGCCCAAAACAGTCACCACTCAACGGACAACTGCTGCTGCCGGAGATGTTTCCGATGCGTCTGATACAAACACACGACCCACCATGAGAACCGGAGGCCTCCAATTTATCAGTGCCTGAAACTCCACCACCAAAAACATCCCCACACACCATTGCAGTAGTTCGTTACCTGCGCGCGGGTCTACATGCCACCCTCTGGCCATCAGTTTTCTCGGTCGTTTATCTCAACTGGCTCGGTTTCCCTTCCGGATTCTGTTGGGACAACATCCAGTCCATGGGTACCATGTTTGACACATGTTTGGGAGACCTGTTGATGCAGTATTTTTGGTATTCTGTCACTGGGATTGCATTCCATGGTCTACTGGTTTAGTTTTTAGATCTCTGGACACTTTTTTAGTGCATATTTGTTATTGCGTGTCTCTCAGGTTTCATAGTCGTTACAGAGTTTTTCTTCAGCAGTTTGCACATGATTTGTTTTTTTGGTTTACTGTTTGATGGTTGTCCAACAGGTTTCTTCTCGGACCACGTTGGCTCATTTCAGTGTTAAAAATAAAAATAGAATTGTGCAAATAAAGATAGAATATCACGTAAGTAGGAATATTATATCATGTATTTGCCTTGATTGCTTTAAGTCTATATAAAGAGATTGTGATGTGAAGTTGAAACACATGATTTCACCATGTCTCTCAATTTATCTCATCCTACAGAGAGCCCAAGCCTTGCATTTGCAAGAGACTGATTTGTCAACTTCAATCCATGATACATTTGAAATGAGTCACTTAACAACTTTAGTCCAACTGTTTAAATTTTAACTTCATTTAATCAATGCTTGAAAGAGCTGCTTGACAGACGCAACAACTTATATTTCTGTGATGTTTAAGAGTTCATATTAAATACAAACCTTGTCATCTCCATCACAAGTTTCTGATGACTCAAGCTCTATTTCAGCAAAGAATGCCTCCAAGACAAAAGCAATAATCTGAAATACAGGAAAGGCACAATCATGTCTAACTTACGCAAAATTTGCTCAGACAGTACAGTTTAATCATGGTATATAGAAAACCAAGATATTTCATTCCCTTTGATTGGTAAAATAAAATCATACCAAGTTCAAAAGAAGCAAAACCGTAATTAAGTAGAAGCTAATGAAGTACACATGGGTCCAAGAAGTTCCAGTTAAATCTCTGTAACTCTGAAATGAAAACCAAAATAGTTATATGTTAAGCACATAATGAAGTCATAGTATGACAATGACAATAACATAGAATTAGAGTCAAGTAAAACAATAAATAGAAATGACTATCTGAAATAAATAAGCATCTTATATTCTTGCATTACACACGTGCAGCAAGAAATTTATACATTTAACATATTTTAGATGTATTAGTATTAATTTTGGTAACAATGATTTACTTTCAACCTAACTGGCTTCTTTCTTAGTGCTATGGCCTGTTAAATGGAGTTCGATCATACATTCAAAAGTTAGCTCAAAGGACGAGGGTGTCCAAACACATATAAGCACTGCACAACCTGAAAACCTTAGCAATGTGGGAAAGAAGTGCAATTTATAACCCACCCTCGTGCATAGACTCGATTTGGGTCCAATTACCACATTGCATGCAAAATTCATCTCTGATACCATGTTAAATGAGCTTGGAGTGTTAAAGTTATGAGATTTCAGATAAAAGGCCAAGAGAAAATATTTGATAAGATAAGACCTGAAAATATGTTTATAAGTGGTGGGGAGATGTCACCTTACAAGCCGATTTTGTAAGGGTTAAGTTAGACTGGACTAATGTTTTCTTTTATATATAGAGGGAGCAAGAGAGATAAGAAAGAGAACATACTTATTAAGGACATAAAAATCAGTATTTGTCTTTTAATAGATAGTCTAGTAATAAGATTTTGAATTTTTATGATGTAACTCATCTCCTGTGTTATCCTGTCCAACGATAATTTTATAAAATATTCAACAATTATTTGAGTTGTCCAATCCTGTTTTTGCAAATCAAACAAGTCCTAAGTATTAAACACAAATATTAGGCTTAGAGAAATAATATTATCTTTATTTTTCAACAAAATACTATCGGAACCAGAATAACAAGATTCTAATTGCCAGATAATTATTCAAGGAACAAAAGAATCAGATAGCATAAAATAGTTGCAGCAAGCCTGCAACATTTGTTCTTCTCATTAGTCATTGCATTATCATGAAACAAAAGATGACATTGAAAGTGGCAAGGATTAGAGACAGCACATATACCTCCATCAATTCTCCCCATATCCCCGAGACTAGCAAATTGAATAGTGCCACCATTCCATTTGGATAATCATTGAAATTAAAAAGTAAATAGCTAATTTGTGTCAAGAAGAATACTCCAATAAAAACAATTACCGTAGAAATTATTCAATTAGAAGCAATATATAAGCCAGTGTTGAAATTTAGACTTGATTGTTGCCCCCACCCTCCCTAGAAAAAATGTTGAGGAATAGATGTGGTTATTACAGGGCAATACCAATCGCTACAGGGTTAAAAATATAGTTTTAAAAATGAACAAAGGATACTCATTAGCAGCAAGGTCTGTGGCCTCCAAATCTGGGTTTCCAGCATTAACTAGACCACCAAAAATCTACAAATACAAAGACAAATGTAAAGTTGGTTCATTGATTGTAGAAAGAACTTCATTGATCGTAGAAAGAACAAGAGAAGAGAAGAGAATCATTGAAATTGAAAATATACAATGGATCCTTAATTTAACTTGTAAATCTAAGAAGAAAATGACCTTGACTCAAGAATTTTACTCACCTGGACGCCAAGTGAGCAATAAATACACAAGATGCAAAATATGGTCCCAAGGTATGGCATCAAACTTGGTATCAGAGTTAAGAAAGTTGCCACGAAACTTCGGAATCGCTGGACATGCATTAGGAGCCTTATCAACCTCAACATTCTTGCAAGAAGTAGGTAACGAATCCTGCAAAGGGGACAGGAAAAACAATGTCTGATTGCATCTTAAAAGCAATGCTTGAGAGCAAATTGAAGTTATTCTTTGCACCAATTCCAATTTTCAAATTAATATACTATTTTCCTGGTATGGTAGAAAAAGAACTGAGTCCAATATCATTTTGTTTTAAATTCCAATTTGTAAAGGAAAATTATGTTCTGTTTTGAAGAAAATAAAATTTGAGCAAAACTATCCTTCTGTTCATTCAATAACAAGAATAATATTAATCATGGATCGAATTGATAATGAGAATTCTAATATTAAAAGCCTTTACTTCCATTGAGACGATATATAGGGCCCACTTGTTACAAAATAAAAAAACAATAATTTTGTCACTCAATAATTTAGAGCCCCTTGTACCTAATTTTGAGGAAAAAAATCACTTTTTAAAAACAAAATAATCACATTTCGAAATTTAGACGCATGTTTTTTAAAAAATTGAATTTAAAAAGAGAATTGAAAAAAAAAATCTAAAATATTGTTTCAAATGAGAAGCTGTTATGAGTGTAGCTTCTCCAAAAAATAGTTTTTGATAACTTTTTTTGCAAAAAGTGATTTTCATTATAATAAATAACCACAAAAGCTTCTTATTTTTAAAATACCTAAAACTAAATCTCTATAGTTTATATTCTAGAGATCTTTTAGAAAGAAGCTATTTTGTGTTTCTTTACTGTAACGAAAATCTTTTTTTTTTTAAATCATCCTTCAAAAGAATTTTTAAAGAGAAACTACTTAAAACAGTTTCATATTTTAAGCAATTTTTTTAAACGGTGTAACAAACATATTAAAAACTCCTAAAAGTGATTTTTTTTTTTTTGGAAATACATAAATCCATGGATGATAATGTCTCTCAAAATTAGTCAATAACTTGATATAATAATTCAGTAGCACAACAGAAATGAAAATAGACCATTAATGTGATTAAGGAAGTGCTTAGTGAAATGAATCTGAAAATAAAGAATATTAAGTATACATTTCAACCAGTAATTGGGAATTGCGAATAAAAAAAAAATTGGAAGACAAGAACATTCAACGTAAAAGTTCATACCATTCTCCATTTGTGAAAAATGGGAGAGCATCATCAGGAAAAGCAAAATCTATAGTTTCTCCAATGACTGCGAAATTTAGAATTATCAGTCAGCAAGATAACATAGCCTCAGAAACTGGGTTTTCCCATATAATACAAATTCAATGCCTAAAAGTGAATGAATGCATAATGAACCTACAACAGAAGATCCTTGACACTAATGGATGTTGCTAATATGACAGGAACCTAGAATTTTATTACATGAAAGATAAATGAATTGAATCCCCCCAATACCCACCATATCCAAAAGTTCCAAGACTCCTCTTTTCAACCATGAATGAATGATTTCACTCATCTTTTCCTCCTACTGTTTACATCCTCTTATTCCCACCTCTAACTAACAAACCAACAGTTACTAATATGGGGTGTGGTGTACAAACAAAATATTTCATGACAAAAGTCAAAAACTGCATGCATTCAACCAGATGTTATTTAAGGAATCTAAATACCACATTTATGAAATTAGTTACCTATTATCACTGTGATCACAAAATCAAAGCGATTTTGACCATCTCGCCAATAGTTTTCAAATCCATATGAGTAAACCTTTAGAACCATTTCTATTACATATATCCACCCTGTAAAACAACAAGCAAAGATCAACTTGGAACAACAAGATCGTATAACTATAACATTCTGTTGATTACAATGAAACAAAATGTACCAAAGCAAAATAAAAAACCATAAAATTATTCAACAGTATCGGGGGATCTCAGACAAATCAACAAGAACAGAGGGAAATGGACATTAAGCTATCTCAAAACAATTGTTTAACTTTCAAGTATCATCATTGTTTAAATTCTGAAATTTTAAGTAAAAGGAGGAGAGAAAATAAGAAAAACTATTATAGTGAACTATGATTGATATTCACTTGATACAAAGTACTCAATATTGATCTATTTATACATAGACTCGGCCCTAAATCAAGAAATAGTAATAACTAATATAAAATATGAACCTAAGAGATACTTTAAAAATAAATAAAAAATAAAAAATCTTTTAAGATATTTTATAATACTCTAACAATCATTAACTCCTTCAAACCAAACAACAAACTTTACAGTACCGAAGAGAATTCACAAATTGAAACATCAAGAAAAAACAAGGAAATACACTCTTTGGACGTGCTTACCGAAAATGAACTCAGCCATTTGCCAAGCCTTTTGAGCAGAACTATTTTCTATGTCGAGCTGCAATTATGAATTAATACAAAATGATCAACATGAGGATATACAAAAAATCCCCAACAGCATACACATGAAAGGAGATTATATGTTACTAATTTGATAGTATCCCAAAGTTATAGACAGAGCCAAGGAGATCATGTGCTCTTATTTATACATTCACAATAAAGTAAACTGCCCTTGCCTGTTGATAATGTCATAATAACAAAAGATTATCAAGTGAAAAAGCTACTAATTAACGAGATTCCGGTCGCTGAATTTGAAAAATTATGCTCTTCCATGAAATGTATTGAATTACGAGAGACTAAGAGGAATTATGAATAAACCGTGTGTTGAATAGCACAGCGGAAAATGATATATATAGAGAAAATTACAAATTATCAGTTTAATTACATATTAATTATATATTGATCCTATCCTAGAATATTCCTTAAGGATATAAATATCAACACTTTCCCTCAAGCTTGAGGATATAAATCAAATGCACCAAGCTTGTTACATATATAGTTGGTTCTGGGACTTCGTAGAAATTTTGTAAACACATCAGCCAATTGGTCATTAGAGTTGACAAAGCTTGTGGCGCTGTCGCCTGATTTGATCTTTTCTCTGACAAAGTGACAGTCTATCTCAATATGTTTGGTCCTCTCGTGGAAGACCGGATTTGAAGCAATATACAATGTAGCTTGATTATCACAAATAATTGTCATTGGTTTTGCATCTTCAATTCGAAGTTCCTTGAGCAACGGTTTTAACCAAATAAGTTCACAGGTTGCCATAGCCATGATCCTATATTCTGCCTCGGCGCTTGATCTGACAACAATATTTTGTTTCTTACTTTTCTAGGATATGAGATTTCCTCCAACAAGGACACAATACCTCGAGGTGGATCTTCTATCAATGGATGATCCTGCCCAATCAGCATCAGACAATTCAACTATCTGAGTATGTCCTTTGTTTTCATACACAAGACTTTTTCCTAAAGCACATTTGATATATCTCAGAATCCGGATAACAGCATCCATGTGTTCAAGACAAGGGGAATTTAAGAACTGACTTACCACACTAACTGCAAAAGAAATGTCAGGACGAGTGACTGTGAGATAATTCAACTTTCCAACTAAACTCTTGTATCTTTCTTGGTCAGATAGAGGCTCCCCCTTATTGGATAGTAGTTTGACACTTGGATCTGACAGAGATAATGTTTATTATTATTGATTAGAGCAGCCTGTGCTCTTAAATAGAATACAATATATTTAGGAAAGGAAATTCCTAATAAATACTTATCATTGCCCTCAATCAATTCTATAAGTAAGGACCAATAATTTCTATAAATACATACACAGCTAATCAAATCCTATTTATGGGATTTTAATCCTATTTAACTATAAAATATACCACTAATTAACACATGTACAGCTCGTTCTGACACTCCCCCTCAAGTTGGAGAGTGGATGTTACTCATTCCCAACTTGCCGATAATAGATTGCAATGTAGAACCACTTAATCCTTTTGTAAGAACATCTGCCAGCTGATTTCCAGTTGATACAAATGGTATACATATTGTCCCACTATCCAATTTTTCCTTGATGAAATGTCTGTCTACTTCGACATGCTTCGTTCTATCATGTTGCATTGGATTATGTGCAATGTTTATTGCTGACTTGTTGTCACAATATAGTTTCATGGGTCCATTCCATTCAATCTTTAGGTCTTGTAGAATTATTTTCAGCCATAGGAGTTCACAAATACCTAAAGCCATAGCCCGAAATTCTGCTTCTGCACTTGACCTCGCAACAACGTTTTGTTTTTTGCTCCTCCAAGTCACCAAGTTTCCTCCAAGAAAAGTACAATATCCGGATGTGGATCTTCTGTCATCTACTGATCCAGCATAATCAGCATCTGTATAGGCTTCCAAAGTAATTCCTTGACCCTTTGTAAATAGAATTCCTTTTCCAGGAGTGCCCTTCAAGTATTGCAAAATTCGGTAAACAGCTCTAAGATGATTTTCTTTGGGATTATGCATGAATTGACTCACCACTCCCACTGCATAAGCTATGTCTGGCCTAGTGTGAGATAAATAGATTAACTTTCCAACCAACTTTTGATAGGATTCTCTGTCCACAGTTGCATCTTCAACAAATTCACTAAGTCTGTGATTTTGTTCAATTGGAGTTTCTACTGGTTTGCATCCCAATTTACCAGTTTCAGATAATAAATCTAGCACATACTTCTGTTGAGAGATGAAAATACCGTGACGAGAGTGTGCCACTTCAAGGCCCAAAAAATATTTTAATCTGCCCAACTCTTTTACTTCAAACTCTTTTAGCAAACACACTTTTAGGCTATCCATTTCTGCTTGATGATTTCCTGTTACAATTATATCATCCACATAAACAATTAGTGCAGTAACTCCCCCTAAGGCTGAATGCTTAGTAAACAAAGTGTGATCTCCCTGACTTTGTTTATATCCCATATCTTTCATCACAGTGGTAAACCTGCCAAACCAGGCCCTAGGGGACTGTTTCAGTCCATAAAGGGCCTTCCTTAGCTTACAAACTTTGTCTTTCTCAAAGTTAAACCCAGGTGGGACCTCCATGTAAATTTCCTCTTCAAGGTTGCCATGTAGGAAAGCATTCTTGACATCGAATTGCTGCAAATTCCATCCATAGTTAGCTGCTAGAGATAACAAAATTCTGACAGTGCTCATTTTTGCGACAGGAGAGAAAGTCTCATGATAGTCAATCCCATATGTTTGTGTGTACCCCTTAGCTACTAGTCTTGCTTTATACCTTTCTAGTGTTCCATCAGACTTGTATTTAAGGGTGAATACCCATTTACAGCCAACAAGTTTTTTGTCATTAGGAAGCTCTACTAACTTCCAAGTTCCATTTTTCTCAAGTGCATCCATTTCAACTTTCATAGCTTCTCTCCACTCTTTGCTATCTAGTGCTTCGGTAACATTTTTTGGGATAGCGGTAGTGTTTAAATGAGCAAGAAAACTTCTATGATTGTTGGACAAATTATCATAGGATATAAAGTGAAATTCTGGCTGCAGATACTCAATGTCACGTTCAATGTTATGACACCGTATCTGACTTTCTATAAGACAGTGAATACAAAAACAGTAAAGAACACAGTCAATTGTTTACCCAGTTCAGTGTGCAACAACACCTACTCTGGGGGCTACCAAGCCAGGGAGGAAATCCACTATAAGAGATATTAATTCAGGAATAAACCAACCAGTTTATCTCCTTCACTTAAGACCTACCCAATGCAACTTCAATCTAAGTACAACTTAAACCTGAGTTCCTACTCACTCCCCCTCAATCACAGCAGTGATACATAAAAACAATTTGACTAATGAATTGTTGAAGACACTCTTCAAAACATACACTTGATTATGCTTCACAGCTTTTTAATCAAGCAACACAAACACTCTTGCTTCACAGCTTTGAGTGATACACAAACCTAACTTGACTTTGCTTCACAGCTTTAGTCAAGAGACATACAAACACTCTTGCTTCAAAGCTTTGAGTGTTACACAACCCTTACAATTAAAACCTATTCCAAGTCACTTATCACAATGATAATTGCTTGGATTACAATAGTAAAAACTATACAGCTTCTAAATGATCTTCTGTCAAAAAGGGATACCATTCAAAACAGCAGCCTTGTTGAATATATAGCAGCTGCAACTTCAGTTAGGGTTTCCACAAAAAACTAGGGTTAATTCCGTTTGACCTTAAGACTAGGTCACAGGACTTTATCAACCAGGTTGGGGTTGAGCTAGGTTAACCCAAAGAAAACGCAGGATTCTGTTCTGGAAAGACTGAGTCATTTTCCTGAAAAAACTCAGAATTAACCAAACTGCATACCTGTTAGTTCAGAACAGGATGTCTTAACATCTGTTATGACATCTGAAAACCTGTCTACTGATTTAGGTAAATGTGATCATTTTGTAAAATGCTCAGATACACACTTATAAACATCAGTACCTGTATGACAATATTTTTCTGCAAAGGTACCTAATGAATCAGTACATACTAAACTAGAATGTTATAACATCAGTCATGACATTCACACATACACTTGGGTTTTACCAAAAATGCAAGCCAATAACTAAACAACTACAAACTCCCCCTTTGGCAGATTTTTGGCTAAAGACCCTAAGCAATCAGAGATAGATAGCAGCAGAAAGAAATGACTGCAGAAAAATAGAATGTCTAATTAAGTACCAAAATATATCTCCCCCTCTTTAGCCACAAATGGGCCAAAGATACATGTTCTTAAAAGTTATACAGTCATCCAGAAAAAGTAATGAGAGCAGAACACACTTCCAAACTCTACCAGGTACCAGCACCAACTCCACCAATCAGCAACTCCACCAACCTTTAAGCACTGTCATCAGACTCAGAGGATTCGGGCTTCTTCCTTTTCTTGTGAGCAATGTCAGCATTCTTCTCTTTGTCTGATGTCTCAACATCCTTAGAGACATCTGGATTTGTTTCAGCATTTGAACTTTCTTGATTCAAAGGAACAGAAATGCCAGGAACTGAGTGGTTCTCGTTCAGAATTCTTGAAACAATTTTAGCTATTGCTTGACTAACATAGGCTGACCCTTCCCTATTTGCAATTTCAGGGGGAACTGAAGAAGAAGGATGAGATGGATTACCAGAAGCAAAAGCTTGGGACCTTCCTGCATGTCTTGTTCTCAACTCTTTGACCTTGGTGGGGATAGTTCCCACTTTTCTAAGAGAAGAGATCTCCAGGACTTCAGAGTCCAGACAAGAAGAGATTGTCCTAGAATCTTGATCAGAGGAAGAGGTTGAAATAGTCGTATTGGATGATGATGGTGTTTGAGACATTTTGACAGTCTTAGAGGACCAACAGCAACTGAAGAGAAAATTCTGATTGAGAGACTGGGTTTTGATGAGGAGACGAGAGGGGAAGGAAGAAAAGGAGTGTCTATTCAACTTCTTAAAAGAATTGAAGGAAATGGAAAAATATAATTTTAACCCAATCAGAACAAGCATAACTCCTTTAACCCTTGTTTTAAGCAAAATTAATTGCTACAATTCCTCATGTTGGCAAATACCCAACTTACCCCTCAAGTTTTCAAATTGATTTGCATCAAGAGCCTTGGTAAAAATGTCAGCCAGCTGTAGCTCAGTGGCAACATGTTCCAATTTGATTGTCTTCTCTTCTACAAGGTCTCTGATAAAGTGATGTCTTATGTCAATATGTTTGGTCCTACTATGCTGAATGGGATTCTTGGAAATGTTGATTGTACTCAGATTGTCACAGTACAATGTCATAACATCTTGAGTGACATTATACTCAGTAAGCATCTGTTTCATCCAGATCATTTGAGAACAGCTACTACCAGCTGCAATGTATTCAGCTTCAGCAGTAGAGAGAGACACACAATTCTGTTTCTTGCTGAACCAGGAAACCAGATTATTTCCCAAGAAGAAACATCCTCCAGAGGTGCTTTTTCTATCATCAGCACTACCAGCCCAATCAGCATCACAGTAACCAGTCAGATTTGGTTCACAGCCATGAGAATATAGCAACCCATAGTTGTAAGTTCCACTCACATACTTCAAAATTCTCTTCACTTGATTGATATGACTGACTTTGTGATCAGCTTGGTATCTTGCACAAACTCCAACTGCAAAGGCAATATCAGGTCTGCTGGCAGTTAAGTACAACAAGCTTCCTATCATGCTTCTGTACAGACTTTGATCCACCTTAACCCCACTTGAATCTTTGGAAAGCTTTAAATGAGTAGGAGCAGGAGTCCTTTTGTGACTGGCATTCTCCATACCAAACTTCTTTACAATGTTCTTAGCATACTTGCTTTGAGATAAGAAGATTGAGTTCTCCATCTGTGAGACTTGCAGTCCAAGAAAATAAGTTAGTTCTCCCATGAGACTCATTTCGAATTCAGCCTGCATCTGTTCAGCAAAATGTTTAACCATAGGTTCTGACATTCCTCCAAACACTATGTCATCAACATATA